TCATAGACTGGCTCATTCTCCTCTTCCTCATCAGCTGCGACATCAGCTGCGTCATCAGCCTCATCATCAGCCTCATCATCAGCCTCATCGTCTCTAATGTTGGTAATCTTTTCGATCTCGTTCAACTGTTTTCCATTGTAGTAGCTCTTAATGTTCTCAAAGTTGCTATCAACATTGTTATCATCATAGTAGCTTACTGTTGGTGTTCGAAGCTGGGTTGAGAATGCCATTTCGTCCAGTTTGTACATGAAGCATACCTTTTTATGCAGATAGTTGTATTAGTTTTTTCAAAGAGTATCATTTATATATAAAATATATGAGTAACAAGGTTGAAATGGCCAAGGGAATGGAGACTTACTGTAAGGAAGTGAAGATCTGCATTGACGTAGACCTTTGATGATTTCAATCCTTCATTCATGTGGTTGAAGAAGTATTTGCACCAGTTGTAGCTGGTGAAATGTTTCTGTTCATCAGTCTTCAAGTACTCAAGCATGTTGAGTTCAGCCATAGGGGCTGAAGTTGGGCACAACAAGCCTCCGGTGACCAGCAGAAAGAATAATTGTAACCATCTCCTACTGTTGGTAACTGTAGAAAGATCTTTTTCTACCTGACTTAGCTTTACCCTTGGAGTGGATGCTCCATCTACTTCCAGTAGGGTTTCTACTGCATAATCTGCTGCATCGTCCCAAGAAATTGTGGGAGGTACAACTTCCCTATTCCCCATTGGCAGACCATATACCCTATGAAAGTCAATTGGTGATATCTTCATGCGTGTCCCATCAGGTAGCTTGAAAGATTGGTTCATTGGATTGTATTTGTTCATTACGAACAGTGCAAAATGGTTGTTTATCTTTGTCTGCTTGATTGACATTAAGCCTGCTAGGCCTAATGTCTCAAGTTTCTCTTTCTGCTCATCTTTTATAGTCCTCGCAATTGCAGATATTCTTGTTGGGCTGCACCTGGTGCGAAAATTTTTTCTTTGGTTTACCATAGTGTACCTGAATGTAGAAATTAGGAATAGTCTGTTAGCGTGCTTTTTACCATGATATACCATATGGTACCATAATGATTTCCTACCATACCAAATCAAACCATATATTTATCTCATTTTACCATATGGTAATTACATCAAACCATGTCTTATAACATATTAACATATGGTAACGAAGTAAAACACAACAGGATGTATGTTTTCATCCATTTTTACAGCATGAAACCATAGTTTACCACACATTACCATATGGTAAAGAAGCAAAACACAGCAGGACTTATGGTTTTTTGCTATTTTACAACATGAAACCATAGTTTACCACTCATTACCATATGGTAAAGAAGCAAAACACAGCAGGACTTATGGTTTTTTGCTATTTTACAACATGAAACCATAGTTTACCACACATTACCATATGGTAAAGAAGCAAAACAGAGCAGGACTTATGGTTTTTTGCTATTTTACAACATGAAACCATAGTTTACCACTCATTACCATATGGTAACGAACCAAAACACAGCAGGACTTATGGTTTTTTGCTATTTTACAACATGAAACCATAGGTTACCACACATTACCATATGGTAAAGAAGCAAAACACAGCAGGACTTATGGTTTTTTGCTATTTTATAACATGAAACCATAGTTTACCACTCATTACCATATGGTAAAGAAGCAAAACACAGCAGGACTTATGGTTTTTTGCTATTTTACAACATGAAACCATAGTTTACCACACATTACCATATGGTAAAGAAGCAAAACACAGCAGGACTTATGGTTTTTTGCTATTTTACAACATGAAACCATAGTTTACCACACATTACCATATGGTAAAGAAGCAAAACACAGCAGGACTTATGGTTTTTTGCTATTTTACAACATGAAACCATAGTTTACCACACATTACCATATGGTAAAGAAGCAAAACACAGCAGGACTTATGGTTTTTTGCTATTTTACAACATGAAACCATAGTTTACCACTCATTACCATATGGTAAAGAAGCAAAACGCAGCAGGACTTATGGTTTTTTGCTATTTTACAACATGCAATCTTAATTTATCACTCATTACCATATGGTAATGAAGCAAAACACAGCAGGACTTATGGTTTTTTGCTATTTTACAACATGAAACCATAGTTTACCACTCATTACCATATGGTAAAGAAGCAAAACACAGCAGGACTTATGGTTTTTTGCTATTTTACAACATGAAACCATAGTTTACCACACATTACCATATGGTAAAGAAGCAAAACACAGCAGGACTTATGGTTTTTTGCTATTTTACAACATGAAACCATAGTTTACCACACATTACCATATGGTAAAGAAGCAAAACACAGCAGGACTTATGGTTTTTTGCTATTTTACAACATGAAACCATAGTTTACCACACATTATCATATGGTAAAGAAGCAAAACACAGCAGGACTTATGGTTTTTTGCTATTTTACAACATGAAACCATAGTTTACCACTCATTACCATATGGTAACGAAGCAAAACACAGCAGGACTTATGGTTTTTTGCTATTTTACAACATGCAATCTTAATTTATCACTCATTACCATATGGTAATGAAGCAAAACACAACAGATTCTACATCAGTTCAGCAACGCATGGAGAGTGACTGCGATACTGTTCTATTGTTGGATTTCGAAGAAAGAAGTGAGGTTTTACCTTGATATTTTGTGCGAAAACGATTTTTGAGCCTCGTTGAAGTTGGAAACTCTTCGTTTTTCGACGAAGAAGCGAGAACAGTGTATCGTTGAATGATTCTTCGAAATCCTTTGCGAAAATCGTTCGATTTGAAGTTTTTTCTGGAAGTTTTTGCTGCGATTTTGGTGAGAGAATTGAGAATCGAGAGGAAGAATGGAGAGTTTGAGAGCAGAGAGGAAAGTGGAACTGTCGCTTGAAAGGTGAGAGGAAGAAGGAGAGAAGGCGGGACGGTTGTCGCTGTCACGTCTGCAATTCAAATTGTCAGAGACGAGATTACGTTTTTGCCCCCGCGTGTATTTTAAGTGGCCTGATCTGACGGCTGGGAAGATGGCGCGATGGACGGCCGGATCATCGGTTACTGACCGTTACTGACAGGTCGGTTACTGATAGGATCCGGACCCGTATTTCGAGGCAGTCCACTCTGCTTGGGCGGGATCTCCACCGTTCATTGGTTTGACTTTTCATATCTTGACCAGGGAACGAAGACAAAAAAAAAAAAAGTGTCCGAGTCAGGGGGATTTCCACGTGGCTGGGGGGCAATATAGGGAATTCATGCGTTCAGCAGGAGTGGAGAAAACAGAATAGAAGGAAGCCTGTTTGTTGGGGGAGTTGCTATTCGTCGTCCTAGATATTTGAATTTGTCGCCCTAAATCATATTAAAATTACACGCTTACCCTTCATTAAATTTTGATCCATTCCCCTCCCCCCTCTCCATTCCAACCGCCGACCACCATCAATGAATCCCTACAATGGGAAGAGAGGCCCGGCCGGCAGCCCACCTCAATCTGGCTTCCACCTCCTACCTTTGCTGCTCTGCTTTTGTCGGCTTCTGTTGATCTTGTGGAAGAAGAAAGAATCACCATCATCCAGCTGTCGGAAGAGGAAGAAGAGAGCTGCTGCGTCGGGTTCTGGGTTCACTTTGACGGGTTGAAAACCCGTCTCCGACGAGCTGGGAACGGGTCAACGACCGGTCTCGCCATCGTCGGCGACAGGTTTCCAACCCGTTAGGCGAGCAGTCCAGATGGGTAGAATACCTGTTCCTTCCATATGTCGCACAGGAACTCAACCCGCCTCTAGGATGATTCGACGGGAATACAATTCGTCCGTATCCTTAGCCCAGAAAAAGAGGATTGGGAAGATTCTTTTCGCGGCAGTGACGGTCGGCGGGATCGGGATATGGGTCTTCTTCGCCTTCTACTTCGTTCTTTCCCTTTCTTTTTCTTTCTAATTTTATTATATTTGTTGAAAGTGATTTATCGGAGACGGGAAAAGGGGAATGGATCTGGGAGAAGAATAAATGGACTTGGAAATTGACAGGAAATTAAGCGGCCGGCAGCGGAGGTTTGCTTTGGATTGGGGATTCGAGAGAAAATAAATGAATTTGAAAATTTACTGGGAGGTAAGTGGCCGGCGGCGGAGGTCTGTTGTGGTGTGGAGATTTGTTTACAAATCAGGGGTAAATGCGTACATTTGGTACCATTTAGGGCGATAAAATTTAAATTTTAGGGCAACGAATAGCGATTCAGTTTGTTGGAGGGGAGACTGTTGTGTTGAGAGAGGTCTTCGGCAATCTGTTGGAAAGACAAAATCTCTCTCACGAATTGCAGAGCTAAAACCAAAATCGACTCCGCCGCGATCTCCACCTTGTTACTCGGCTATCATTAGTAAGATTCCTCGCTTTGTCAGTTTCTGAACCGAATTTATTGTAATTGGACGATGGATCAAGAGATTTGTTTGGACTGGTTTTTTTGTCCGTTTGCTTGCTTGATCTGGGGGTTTCTGCTGTTTTGCTTACATTTTCACCGTTGAGAAGCTGCTGAGGGGTTTCTAGCTCCACAAGTTTGGGGTCGAATCGGCTGTGCAAATCAAATTTTGTAACAGTGATTCAGAAATGGAACGGCTTTGGGCTTTGGCACTGTGATTTGCTGCTTGGATGCATGCAACGGTGTCTGTAGTGGTTTGCCAGGGACAAATGGCTTTGTTCTCAGACTCTTGGGTAGTTGAACAATCTCATTTTGAATACCTGCTGCCTGTGTTGTGTGCTGATGACCTGATGTTCTGCAATAGTTTGGCAGACTTGCTTTTTGGCTTTGTCGTGCATTGAACCATGCTTGTCCATGGTGATTGGTGATACAAGTTTGGCTTGGGTGATTTTGCTTCTGGGTACGAGTCTCATTTATTGTTGAGAGGAACACTTGATCTATAGAGTGGCTGCTTGGAAGTAGGAAGTAGAGTAACTTCATATGTCTGTCGTCTTGTGTTTAATTATGTTCCAAACCCTTTGAGGATTGTCCATTCTATGGTATGGCGGGTATCAAGTTAGGATTATTAGACCTTCTTTCCATTCTATGGTGTGGCTTCTTGGAAGTAGGAAGTAGAGTAGCATATGTCTGTCGTCTTATGTTTAATTATATTTCAAACCCTTTCAGGATTGTCCATTCTATGGTGTGGCGGGTATCAAGTTAGGATTATGAGACCTTGTTTCTTTTAATCCTATAGACGAGAAGGGACAAGAAATACATCAATTACCCAACACAGACATGTTCTCCTTGTTCTATGGCCTTTATAAGTATATGTTCAGTAAGACGGAGTTTCATGTGCTCATTCTTGGGATTGACAAGGCAGGGAAGACGGTAATGCTTCTTAACCTTGTGACGTGAGAAGTTCATTGTGCAAGTAATTCCACTCCCATAATTAAGTGTATCCGTTTGTTCTTTTCTGAATTTTGTAGACCTTGCTAGAAAAGTTGAAGACAGTGTACTCGAATTCTGAAGGCCTCCCCCATGATAGAATTGTTCCAACCGTTGGACTCAATATTGGTCGTCTTGAAGTGTCGAATTCCAAGCTTGTGTTCTGGGACCTGGGCGGGCAGGTACACATTACAGTTTAAACTTGTCAGACTTTCAAATAGTGACTCATTTGCTTATGGTTGTGCTAGGGGTTCTCTTTCTGCACATTGGGATGTTAGTAGTTCTATTAAGAGAAAGTAACATTTTTATATGAAGTGGGGAATATGATGCAGCTTTGTTTACGATCCATCTTAGCTGCTAAGCTCATCCTAGAATTATCTCTACTCCAGGATAAGTTAATGGTTGAATCATTGAAATGTGCTTTTGGTTGAATCATTGAAATGTGCTTTTCCTCATCTGCGCCATGTTTAGATTGGCCTTCGCTCAATTTGGGAGAAATATTATGAAGAAGCACATGCTGTAGTGTATGTAATTGATGCTGCTTGCCCTTCTCGTTTTGAAGATGCAAAATCTGCTTTAGGTATGTTGCATTTACTTTGTTTCTTCATGGAAGAGGCGAACATCTGGACATGAAGGTAAGTGACCAACTTCGAGTTTTGTGTTGATTCTTGACAGAGAAAGTGCTTAGGCATGATGATCTGCGAGGTGCCCCTCTTCTGGTGTTGGCAAACAAACAGGTAAACTTTCCCATGAGATTCAGCTTGCTAAGAATGTTGGTTGCTGCAACTCCTCTACTAAGTGATGAAAACCCCCTTTGCACTTGCAGGACCTTCCAGATGCTGTAACAGCTGAAGAACTGGGTAGATATCTAGACCTGAAGAAGTTGGACGAAAGGGTTTACATGTTCGAAGCTGTTTCAGCATATGATGGGTGAGTGGGTACTGAGTAGAGATTTTGGTTGATTGTAAGAATAAAAAAAGTTTGACCACAGTGGAGAAAAACATCCACAAGTGTCCTGTAACCGCTGAAACATCGAGACATCATGCAGGTTGGGTATCAAAGGAAGTCTAGAATGGCTAGTTGAGGCAATGGAACGGAGCAAGCGAACTGAAACATTGAGACTGCGTGCAGGGATGGCTGGTCCTGGTGTCTAGCAACACAATCTATTTTGGAATCAAGATGAGGAACCTTTCACCACCTGGCTTTTCAGTAGATTCTGTAAATATGCTACAGAGGGTTACGCAGCATCCTACTTGGGCGACTAGTGTACTAATTCTGCCATAGGATGCATATTCTTTCGCACTCCACTTCTCTACTGCAGAGAAGCAAGTTAGTAGTAAGGGAGTGAACATGATTACACAATCCACTGGGAAAACTTATGTGTAATGATAACTGGTTCATGATGTAGGCTTTTTGGCCTGATGAGCTCATAGATTTACTTAGAGATACAATGTTGAAAGAAAGTTCAGAACTTTTCTGCCATATCCATGACTTTTTACATTTCTGCAAAAGATTGAAGCTTATAAATACTCATGAGAGATTGAACTGGCAATTCAGAAATAGCGAATCAAATCACGCTATCCATTCCCCATTCGATCTGCCCTTTCCATCAGTTCTTAGAGCTAGTGCTGCTGGCTCGTTCCTTCACTGCCGGTTCAGGAGGTTCTGCGATTGAGATCAATGAAGAAATCAACACAAACAATAAAACTACAGATGGACGAAGAGGAGTGGTTTAAAAAGTGAGAATTAGTGGAGAACTTACGGGAGATTAGGGCCTTGGGTCTGGTCTTGAACAGAATCTTGTGCCGTATGACGCCCACAACGTCCAGCTCCACCTTGCCTGAAGAGGAGCCGTCACCTTGGTCACCGTCGTCCGTTCGCTTGACTTTCTTCAGCACGGCCAGGGGCTTCTTCAAGGTGACCTTCGTTCCCGACAGTTCGTGATAACCGATCGTGAGAGTGTACTTTTCGTCGGAGGAAGGCCGGCAAAGGCGTCCGATTTCGAGGTTCTGGATTCCATCTCGATGGGAAGGCTGGACCTCGACAACGCCTTGCAGCTCCACGATCGCCCATTCCGGACAGTTCTCAGCGCCGCAGCTGCACTTCACCTCAATCTGCATCTTCTTCTTCTTCTTCTCTCTCTTCCTCTGTGTCTCAGAGTCTCTCTCTCTATATCTCAGTGTCTCTCTCTCACCCGCAAAAGCAGAAACAGGGAAGAGATTGGCGGGAACCAAACCCCGCTTTCCCGCCAGCGATTTGCCTACGGGGAAATCGTGGTTCCGGTTGACGATTTAGGCTTGGCCCTTCATTTTATAAAAATGGCTAACTACATCAACAGTCACAGAATTTTTTAAGACTGTTCGGCAAATCGGATCATGGAATTGTGACCTTTAGCATAACTCTGATTAGCTATCAAGTAGGTAAAGAGATGTGATCCAAGGTATGAATTTAGATTGGATCGAGTACATATTAAATGGATTGCCAATGTTAGCTTAATTAATTCGATTAAAATTATACTAATTTTGACAATTTGGATGAACAAAGGGAAACAAACATGATATAGTACTACTTCATCGTGGAGATTATTGTATTCACCATCATCATCCATTGGAGGCAGCCAGAAGCAAGAACCCTAAAGTTAGAACATCTGTTTACACAGGTGAGCAGATTTGCTGAACACGGTAGAGCAAGCTAACTAGGATAACAGAGAACTAAAGCCAAAATGATGTTGCTCTCCGGACTCGGAGAGCTTCACCATCCATATGTACAATTAACAATCGACTACAGTTAAAGACAAACCTACACAGCCTTCCTCTGGCTTCTGGTAACTCTCCTTCCCATACCAGCAGACGGGCTGCTCCCACCAGTGTACCTCGCGATTTTCGTCTGCGGTGATGACAGCTGCTCTACCCTTGCTGCTGCTTCGGTAGGGAAGATAGTAGTAGGCTGGTGGAATACCTGACCGGAACTTGGTTGAACTTGTTGTGATGAAGTTGCCTGCTCTGGCATGTTGAAAAGATCAGACTCCAGTGGAATTGCACCCGTTAGAGTTTTTATGGCAAACTCGATACAGGGGTCTGCCCATGTATAAGCTGCAGACAAGCCGGCAGGCGATACTGGATTCTGAGAATGGTTTATTGGCTCCGGTTCAGGAATGCTTATTTCTGGAGTAGCCAGATGCTCCTTCGAACTGGCTGAATCACCGAGTCCATTATTGTTCGACCCCATTGGCAAGTCATCAAGTGACCCGGTGAGGGTCTTTATTGCAAATGCAATGCATGGGTCTTCCCATAACTCTCCCAGGGGAGCATCGAGAGGCAGTTTCCCCGCTTCACCTTCTTCAGCTTTCTTACAAGTTCCAGAAAGCTTGCTCTTATTTGACTCGGCGAAGGCTTTTCTTGCCACGGATGTATTCTGGTATAGATGATTTACTTCCAGCTTGGGATCAGCCGGATCACTTGACGGCTTAACTAATGCTGCTCGATGATGATGATGTTGTTGACTTGGGGTCTTCAGTGCTGAGGTAGAATCAAGTGCGGCAGTACCAACATCCACAGTTTTAACAGCTGCTGCTGCTTGATGAGAAGATGGACTCGCCTCTAGTGCTGCGGTAGTAGGCTCAAGAGGAAGAGCAGCAAGTCGCTTCGAGGCACGGCGAGGGATCTGTACGACGTCCTCCTTTTTCTTGGACTTGCCAGTTGTACTATATTTCTTGGTCTCATGGTTTTCCACTTTATGTTGTTGTACAGGCTGCATATCAGAGACACCTTTAGCTTCTGCAGCAGTTGCTCCAATCTCCTTTTCCTCGTGTTGAACTGTGCGCTTTTCAGGGAGTATTTCAGGTACTATAGTAGTAGCCTGTTCAGTCACCTTCAAGGTCTGGTCCATTTCTTCATGTTGCATTTCTTGAACATCTGGGAGGGCTTCAGCTGCTGGTGGAGCTACTTTAGTTACTTTGAAGGTAGGTTCTACTCCAGGCACCTTTAAGCTCTTATTATTTCTGTTCATAGTTGCATCAGTCCCCAACTGGTGTCTCTTGGTTAAAGCTGGCGACTGGCAAGCCAAAATTAATAGAACAATAAGCATTCCCACGTATGAAAGGCAATACATCTGAGACTAAGCTAGAAGACAGTAAAGGAATTCTGGAAGCGAGGAAGGGGAAGCTAGTGGACATTTCAAAGGACAAATTTCAACTTAGAATCACTAGAACTCTTGACGGAGTCCTCAGCCCAGACAAAAAATCATGGTGGTTCGCTAAGAATGTCAACCCTAGTTTTGAGTCAATTTAAGAACTCAGATAAGCCAATCACTACAGGTTCGAGAATAGACATGAATTCATTATTGTAACTATTGTTATGGTGCAGCTAACTAACTTCAAGTCATATCATCACATTTTGGGGAGTTCGCTAGCAGTAGCAGGCATCATATTTATTCTCGGATAAAATAGCAGACCATAAACTTCCAGAATTTTAATGTTGAAGTACCCACCAGAGTTTCATCATCTTCTGCATCGTCATGATGCCTTCCTTCTCTCCGCCTGATTGCTAGTCTTCCAACCTCCCCAGTCTGACTATACCGAACCGCATCTTTCATGGAACGGAATGTGTATGCATTTTCAGGATCCGTATAATACTACAAAAGGCAAAGTTTAGTTAGTGAATTCATGAAAATCAAGTTTGAGTCGTCCATACAACTCATCTCCCAGGGCGTACTGCAATTGTGTTATGAATATTAGCAACACACAGCACATTCAGTAAGAGGCATAACATATGAACTTAAAAGGTGCAATCAAAGAATTAAAATCCCAAGACAAGAGAAGAAGCCTGAGTACCGGATCTCTTCGGATTTTTCTGCCCTTCTTTGTTACTTTAACTTCTTTGGTCCATCCTGGAGGTAACCCTTCCGCTGTAGCCTTCTCAAAGGTAACCTGCATTCCAAGTGAATTTAAACCCTTCTCTTATTATGCAGAAGAGAGTAAATAATGAAAGGTATCATATCAAACACTAGTGAATAGTGAGTGAATTTTAAGAATTGATTTTGCATATTTATGATGGCTTCGATTCCATATTAATCAAACCCTCAGTCTAAAAGAAGGAAAATATTGAAACAAACCAACAAAGGAAACATGCAAGCTGCCGAGTGCCATTAGAAACCTGTTTAGAGGATCTTTTAAGAGTGCTATTCTCCTCCTTCTCTTCACTCTTGGGATGGCTATTGGCAAAGTGATTGCTACTATCCGTGACATTGTTGGTATTCTTCCCCATGGTGGGGGTGTTGGTGGGGTTGCTACTAGCGATATTGACCAAGTTGAGGTTGTTGCTATTCTTGAGAGTATTGGAGGGAGTAGAGGGAGTGGTGATGTTGCCTGTAGTGTTGAAGTTGCCTCTAGTATTGTTAACTGTGTTGTAGCTATCATCGCTCGTATGGCCTTCGCTGCCACCAACGTTGATGCCACTACCGTTGCTTTTTAGATATCGAGTTACCTCAAGTTTAGAGTAGAATTTAGCCCCACCGGTGGGAGGAAAGTACCACTGCAAATAGAGCAAATATATATAGTCAAACAACATCACAACTTCACGAAGCTGTCTTTGTGCGCGCAATCTATTTTCGATCGGCTAATCAACTCCAAGTTAACTTACACACGGGCACACGGCATAACATGTTACAGAATAACACATAGATCAATGCCATTAACATCAGTTTCAGTCCCGACTCCCCCAATGAATACCCATCTCATTAAGGCATCGAGATCAATGCCATCAAGTGTAGACATAACAATGAAGAACACTACTACTCATCCGTTGCAGAGGTTCACATATGCATGCAGATTCATGCATTCCAGGAATCACAACTTATACAAACTAGCATAAACTTGAGCAAGTTTGGGAATTGGGGGGCACAATAGTATGAAGGTTCCTTCAATGCAAAAAGCCTAGCTATGCAAAGGGGGTTTCCTAAAGGGCAAAAATGGCACATGCAATCCGTAGTTCAACCCAAAATTTGCCATTTCCGGTACAAACGAAACGATCCGAGCAGTATAAGCAAAAACATCGATTCCTTCAGTAGCTACAGTGACTTGCGAGACACCCTAAAATCACAGAGAAACAGCTGAGGATTACTAGTCCTTGGGAATCGAAAAGAGGGAGAGCGGGAAGTGAGAATGGAAATCGGGGAAGAAGAAGGAAGGTACCTTACCTTATCCTTCTTACCGCTCTTCCTAACATTGACCTGAACTCTCCAGCCTTCCGGCAGCCAGTCGTCGGGGCTCCCATCATTCATCGCCGGAACAAGCCTCCAATTTTCTCCTCTCTCTCTGCTTCCCACTTTTGTTATGGTGTTGTTGTCCCTGGTTTCCTTGGGAGCAAGAAGTTGGAACTTGGAAGAGAGTCAAAGAGTGAGGGGAGGTGGGGGACGGACGGGAAGAAAGAAAGAAAGCATAATAAGAAAGTGAGTGAGTGAGGTGCTTTTCTTTTTTGCTCTTCCCCGCCTGAGAACTTAGCAGAGAGAGAGAGAGACCCCACGTGTTAGCCCAAATTAATTTTTGTGCGTCTACATCTAATTCGAACACCATATTTTCTACGATTCGACGGTATTAGTTCGTGTTGACGCCTACTCTAAGTGATAACAGAATTTTGGTAATGCGAGTTTTACGGGATATAAAAAAAAACGTATCGAGTCCCAACAGAAGAATCATCCTGTAACAAAGTTTGTTTTAAATGTTAACTGACGGATTAGGGAGTATAGTGATTAGTACTGAAGGTTCAGCCGTTCTGTTATTGACCTTTTAGATTAGAGAGAGAGAGAGAGAGAGTACCGGGTAGGTAATTTGTGGGCTTTGGTGGGTGGGTTTCTGGTGGTGGTGGTGCTGCTTTATTGCAACACGTCCTTGTTGCATTGTGTAGATTCTGGCCACCTATAGTCTCTAAAAACTGTTTGGAACTTCCACCCTCGTATACTGGTATGCTGTTCCAATGTAGACTTGGGGGAGACAGGTTGTTTTGATGTGTTTCATTACTGCGTGAAATATGGGCTCCACTAGAAATTGGGCTTCGCATCTCAGAGCCCAGATTAAGTGATTATATGGGCTACACCACATTTATGGGCTTTATCATTTGGTAAGCATGTATCAATTTTTTTTTATACATGGCAAGCATGTAGATGAGTTTTAATCCTCCTAGAATTTTGTATACTTTTCTCTATTTCAAATTTCCTGTAACGAGAGTAAAAGTCTCTTCAAACAAAGACAACAATCGCAACCAATTATACTAAACAAATTTTTGTATATTTTTTAATACAAAACATACACGAAGTGACACTCTGAAAATCAGAGGACTTTTTTTTTATCATGATTAGCAAGGCCACTAAGTCTGCCATATGTATTTTTATGGTGCTTGATGCTGCAATTTTCATAGCAAAGTTTCATGGAAGAAACTAATTCTATTACTACGTCTTGTGTCCTTGCATTTTTTTAATTTATATTTAAATTTGTACTCTTTTTTTTTATCTTTGTTCTTATCTATTTCTAACTTCCTTTGAAATTCCTTCCATCATTCAATAGTTTGCGCCCCTTTCACTTCACAGTACAAGGCCGCCTTTGAAAATCAATCTTCCGGTTTCTTATCACTTCGATTTTATTCTTGGAGATTTAAATTGGGCAAGTAAAAGATTTCAACTCCGATATCAATCCATGGCGAACAGAATGGAGTTCAATAAATGGAGGTGCAGAAGGAGGATTAAAAATTGAATTTTTAGTTGAAACATACGCCTCTTGAGTTTAAAGATAGAGTGGATACAATTTTATCGTACAATGGAGAGTGGTGGTTATTGGATCTTTAGGTTTATGGTTTTTGAAGCTATTGCAACCTAATTATATCTTAAAACGAGGAATTATCGATTGATTTACTGAAGTAGGTCGGTCGATTCTTTATTCAACCTACTGGAACTGATAGAGAAGGAGTGTCTAATTTTGTTCCTTATTACGTTGATCGAGTCTTAGTATATTGGAGGTAACCCTAATTTTGGCGTTTGCTCTCAAGTTGTGATGGTCCCCGCTTAGCTGAGTTGTTAGCATATAGTTGACTTGAATCAATAACTCTTCATTTCTTTTTGATTAGTGACATATTGTGCCTAAAAGGAGAGCATTGAACCTTTATGTAGGATTGCGAAGCGAGGTTTAAGATTTAGTTTCAAACTATCTATGGTTCGTGAGAAAATTTCAGTGAGCTTTTATACTATATATTTCTTGACAATCAACTAACCAATAGCATTTTACCGGGAATTTAATTATCATTATGAAAATGAGATCAATGATACCTTTATATTTCTTCAAATGTTCGATCTATATATTCTTTCTTTATGTATTATGTCGATCGAATTATTGTCCATAAAATTAAACGGGTTGATAATCTTAAACGTAAAATAAAAATAAAAATAATCAAATATGAATATTCCGGCCAACGGGCCAGGTTATAAGCT